ATTTCCCAGTGGTTTAAGTTTAGCTTTTTTCTGAGGAGAAGTGTGGAAGTGACCTCTGACTGCTAGCATCTTGACTGAGTTATCCCACCCCCTTGTGAAAATGGATAGGGTGAAGGCTTGCCACTTTGCCTTTGGATAGTGTTGTAGTTTTCTTGGAGCAGGATGTTCTGTAAAAATCTATTACATAACCCATTCAGTGAGGTACAGTGAAGGAATGTTGATGGAGGAGGACGTTTTGGCATTTCTACTTTCAACCCCACATGGATATCCCAATGGGGAGTGCAAACAACATGGGGTGATGGTATGTGTTTAAACTTTGAGAAAATAAGTCCTCTCAAAAGTCCTCTTCTATAGAATCAGAGGAATTACTGGAGCCATGGGTGCTGAGTGTCCACACGCATTGGGAGGCAGTCCAAAACCCCAAAGACACTAATTTTGGGGCCCCAGTTCACCTACTCTATGCAGTGGGCTTGGTTTCTTGGAGTAGAAGTAACTGAGTATTATCTAACTCATTTAGACTTTAGCTGCTTAAATTTTTTGCTTTTTTGTTTTATGTATAGCCACCAGTTGACAAAGTAGATAACCTCATTTCTGATGGGTTTTACATTCTTAGTTACACCAACAGAGCAGAAGAGAAGCAGAGAGATATGCTCAGACAGTGGACCAGAACTCTAGACATTTGCCCACCAGATAGACCAAAAATGCAGAGCCTTGGAGGGACATTCACATTAGTGGTTTGGTGCCTGGATCCCACCACCATCTGGGAGATCAAATACTTTGTGTTTGCTCATCAGTTCATTAGTTGATTCCAGACGTTTGTTCTTTGTTCAGATCTTATATGGACACTATACATTAAACAACATTTTTTTAAAAATTGGATAATTAGTGTTTTTTTTTTTTAAAAGATTTTATTTATTTATTTGACAGAGAGAGAGATAGCGAGAGCAGGAACACAAGCAGGGGGAGTGGGATAGGGAGAAGCAGGCTTCCTGCCTAACAGAGAGCCTGATGCGGGACTCGATCCCAGGACCCCGGGATCATGACCTGAGCCGAAGGCAGACGTTTAACGACTGAGCCACCCAGGCGCCCAATTAGTGTTTTTATTACTGAGTTGTAAGGATTCTTTATATATTATGACTACAAGGTTTTTATCAGATATATGATGTGCAAATATTTCCTCTCATTCTGTGGACTATCTTTTCACTTTTGGATGGTTATCATTTTCAGGACAGAAGTTTTAAAATTTTGGCATACTCCAATTTACCTAATTTTCTTTTCTTTCTTGTGCTTTTGGTGTTTTATTATTATTTTAATTTTTAAAAAATTAACATATAATGTATTATTTGTTTCAGGGGTACAGGTCTGTGATTCATCAGTATTACACAATTCACAGCGTAAACAACATTTTTATAAACTTTTTTTAAAAAAGGAAAACATTTACATCACATTCCCAGTATGCACACAGGTGTGTATGTGCATTGAAATAAAAGTTTCTCAGATCACAGCTGACCTTCCCTACATGAAACAACTCTGATCTATTTTATTCCAGTTGATACAATTTCATTAACAAAGTTAGGCAAAACCTATTACATTGATTTTACAATCAACTGCTGGGTCACAACTTGCAGTCCGAAAAACACTGTGCCTAGAAAATCTAGAGAACTTTTTGTTTCAAAGCAGAACCCCCTCACCCCCTCTCCTCCTACCTCCTTGACTGCACATTCTCTGAGACCTTTAGGATAGATGCTTTGGGGGCCAATCCTGTACTCTGTTCCTGATGCGTTTCTTCATAGATATTACCTGTTCCCGTGGCTTCATTATGATCATTGTTACTGTAGTGACTCCTGAGGATATATCCCCAGCTCCAGATCTCTCTAGAATTCTGTATCTGTGCTTCTAGCATGATTCTGAAAAGTTCCATGTAGCTCTGTGCCCATCATCTTGAGATCAGCATGTCCCAGATCAAAATGATTATCTTCTCTAAACACTTCAGTTTCCTTCCTTGGGTGATTAATGGCTTTCTTCTTCTCCCATTTACCCTGACTAAACATTTCAGGCCATCACTGACTGTTTATTTTGCTCTTCACACTAGTCTGTCATCAAATCTTGTGAACTTTGCTTACAACCTTCACCTCGCTTTTCCATCCTTGCTACCATACCCCCTCTTTTTTTTTTTTTTAAAGATTTTATTTATTTATTTGAGAGAGAGAGAATGAGAGAGAGCACATGAGAGGGGGGAGGGTCAGAGGGAGAAGCAGACTCCCTGCCGAGCAGGGAGCCCGATGTGGAACTCGATCCAGGGACTCCAGGATCATGACCTGAGCCGAAGGCAGTCACTTAACCAACTGAGCCACCCAGGCGCCCACCATACCCCTTTGATTAAAAAAAAAAAAGTGACTTATTACCTAAGGACTTGAATCTGACCTCTTTAGAACACTGGATCTCAAACCTTATGTGCTAATGCACCCCACACTGCACGATGTATTGATCCCCAATTAGGAGCTGAAAAGAAAGAAGTCTTTTCTCGTTACTCGGGAATCAGCCTCACCTCTTTGACTAATATGACATTTGCCGTGTGTTTCCTGCCATATAATGTGACTGTTTGGATTCATAGTTATTTGTTATGCTGTTATATGCCATTAAGTATCTCCTAAAGGGTTTGGATCTGGGAGTCACCTTGAATCTTCTCAACAGCAGAGAGTAACCAAGCCATACTGACGCTGTCCTCTAAACCAATTATTCTCCAACATCCATGTGCATATGAATTATCTGCTGGACTAAAAGTTCTGATTCAGCAGGCCAGGGATGGGGCTTCAGAGTCTATGCTTCTGCTTGGCTCCTGGGAAACTGTGAAGCTGCTGGTGGGAGCCCCATGCTTTGAGTAGCCAGGCTGCAAGCTGTCCTTCAACCCATCTTTCTCCATTCTCCCTCCATGCCACCCTTTTATCTGTTGCCCTTATCACCTCACGTCCTCCTGACTGGTCTGCCTGCTGCCCCTCCCCACCTCTCATGTGTCCCTCGTAAAACTATGATCTAATGGATCATTACCTCTGCAGTGAACCCCCCAAAACAGAAGTGCCGTGCAGATCAGAAATGCAGGGTCACCTTACAGACCTGGCCTGTGGTCTAGGACGAAGCTGGGTACTTTGCTCGGAAGATCCTCATTCTTTCTTTTCATGCTTCCGTCTCTTCTGACCCGTTTGATGTGGCTACTCTACTACCCCCCACACCCCCAGGACTGATTTTCCTTTTGCACCAGCCCAACCCAGGCCCTACGCGCTGTGACTCCTAGATTTGGCACACTGCCTTGGGGTTCTCAGTAACACTTTCCACGTGTTTCTTTTTGTTGTTGTTGTTTTTTAAAGATTTATTTATTTGAGAGAGAGAGAGAACACAAGCAGGGGGAGGGGCAGTGGGAGAGGGAGAAGCAGACTCCCTGCTGAGCAGGGAGCCCGATGCGGGACTCGATCCTAGGACCCTGAGATCATGACCTGAGCCAAAGGCAGATGCTTAACCGAATGAGTCACCAGGCGCCCTTCAATATGTTCCTTCTTAAATCCACGGTTACCAGATTACGTGGGGTTACAAAAGAGAGGGGCTGAAGAAGCCAAAAGGTGATTAGAAGAAAACATGATTGGGAAGGATAAATGACATGACCCATCGGTGACAACTAGCCTCACCTTCTTGCTGACTGCCCTGTGGTTGTGCTGGTCTCTCGGAGCTGGGGGTCCCCCCTGCCATGGATTTGCCCTGGGGCTGGTGAGTCCCAGACCACTGATACAGTAGGATTCCTCTGTCGGTTGTGGGAAGCCATGATGTCTAAGTGCTAGATTTTTATTTTATTTTAGTTTAGTTTAACTCATTATCTTTATTTTTACTGCCGGCTCTATTGCTCAGTATTAGATAATATATTGCAAGGAGGAGTGTCTTTGATCAAGCAGGCAGCGGCCAGGGCAGGGCTAGTGTGGGAGACTCAGGAGAATAACAGGTGTGCAGGAAGCAGAGGTGGGAAGTGGGGTTCCTGGGTGGGGGTCCCACTCTGTCTAATGTCTGAAATCTTGGAAGGATGACCCAGCCTCGTTGACCTGTTCCCCCAATCCTCAGGGTTGGGAGGGAGTATGGGGAAGCAGATCACTCTTCAACAGGCCTTAAGGATAAGTTACTAGGACTGTGCAGAATACTCCTTTTCTTAAAAAAAAAAAAAAAAAAAGGCAACAAACTCTCCCTCCCAGAATCACGCCATTGTGTCTTTAACCTTGAAGTTTCCTTCTGTCCAGAAAGTGGGTCTTTGTGTGACCTTCGCAGGCTCAGGGCACAGACTAAAGGGTCACTAAGACATGGGCCAAAGACATTTTTATTCTTATCTGCCTCCCACTGCCGCAAAGGTTGTGAAATTCTTCCATGGAAGAAAACAATGAATTTGGCAGAAATTCTTCCATGGAAGAAAACAATGAATTTGGAAGAAAAATCATGACATAACCGTTTTCCCCTCTAAGGAACCAGCATTGCTTTCCAGCGTGTGAATGTTTTCCCATGTGTCCCCAGGGCCATGAGTGTTTTAAGAAGTTTTCACTGCAATGCTGCCTTCACTCAGTCTTCACGTCCACCCCCTCCCAGCCCATCCTCCAGAGTCGCCAGGGTTCCCGAGTATAAACCAAGAGACTGACAAGAGCCCTGGCAGGGATGAGCAACAGAAATACAAGGAGCGTAGTGTAAGGAAGGTGGTGGAAGGTGGGAGGCAGGACGGGGAGGGGAAGGTATTTTCAGCAGCAGTGGGGACTCCTGAGACCCATTTTCAAGACAGACACTTTGCTTGGAGCAATTTTCTGCATTTATGCCTCTTTAATGGTCAGTGGTGCAATCAACAGAACGCCTGCTCCCTGGTTAATAATGGGGCTGTTGGGTGGCAGTGATATTGGAGCCTGCTGGCTTTGGGATCCATGGGCTGACAAAAAGACCATTGAACATTGACTTTTTCACTTTTCTTTCTCTTTCCCCAGGGCAGCCACCGAAGTTCTGGCAGCATTGCTGAAATCCAGTAAGCACCTCTTTTGAAAAGTGGTTATTTCTTTCCCCTCTGAGTTCAGTGAAAGATGCTCTCTGTATCTCCATGGCTCATTTTCAGCCTGGAAGGCAATAGAGCCATTCCTGGGTCTTCGGGGTGAGATGGAGAATATTATGGCTGTTCCGTGCACAAGGCTGCAACGAGAGAGTTAGTATCTGTCCATGTGGGCATGCCTGTGCATAGTGCCGTCAAGGCAATTTATTCTAAAGGGAGTGTGTTGTCTTCTGCAGCCCCGAGGAACTCTCCGGTTTCTTCTAACAGGGCCAGTGGGCCCTTAAGCATTGTTGGAATAAAGTCCTGTTTCCATTAGGATTGTCCTGTAGAAGAAAAGGTGATGGCACTGGGTGGGTGGGAAGTAGGACTCTTGCCTTTGCTTCTGATCCCAGTTCATGACTCTGTATTCTCGGGCAGGTGGGGTGTTGGGAGTCGCTTGGACAGTGTAGATTCTAATAACAAATTTATATTAAAAAGTTGGCTCTCTTCTCAGTTACTTGAGTGATTGCAAAAGAATAGCTCTGGGGGTCTGAATAATTTGAAGATTTTTTTTTTTTTTTTTTGCCTAGTAGCCCTGGTCTAATTACATTGGGAGTCAGTTTCATGTGTGCAATATATTAGAAGGCACTATGCACTTGGGAGTGAAGAAGTCTTAGTGCAATATTTTTATTTTTATTTTTTTCCCCTCCTTACCTCTTCATCTATTTTAATTTGGCGCCTTGGAAACCCGTTCCTTCAATTGTGATATTTGTTTCTCTATAGGGAGCCCGAGGCCTGTGGGTAATAGGTGAACTTTAATAAAACTTATAAATAAATAAATAAAAATAAAAACACCTTTTCCCCCCCAACCATAGATCTCTGTCAACTCTCGGCACAGAGAAAGCCATATCACTTAGCACTTCCTTTTGTAGGCTGAAGAAAAAAAAAAAGAAATTAAAGCCTGAATTCATTTGGTCAGTTGGAACACTATACAGTACACAGGCGTGTGTGTTCACGGCTCTCTGTCCTGCAGGTGGAATGGAGGTATTTCGCAGCAGGCTGGCATCATGGTTCTTGTTATTTACCTACCTGCTCTGCAGCAACTTGTGATGATACCAGGTGTTTGGTGCTGGAAGAGTTCTGGGATTGCGGGAAGTAAGGGAGCTGAGAGGGGCCAGGGGAACCAGCCCAGTCTAGGTGGGAGAGGCCTCCGTGTCTCACAGGAAGAGAGCCCTGAGAAAGGCTGACGTCCTTTTCTACACACACACACACACACACACACACACACACACACACACACCCACACACCCTTCTCAGCCTGTAGGCTTAGAGTCGAGTGTCCCGAGGCACAGTGTACCTACCATGTGTAGAAATCTGAAAGCAGGCACATGCCCGTTATTAACTATTTCCATACGGGGCACCAGGCATGGACCCAGGGGAAACCAAAAAGCAGTGACAATATACTGACTAATTCAGGCTTAGAACATGTAGCCAGGTTTTCAAAACGCTGGCTGTCCTTAGCAAAGTGAGCATGCTGTGCTAGCGGATCAACTTTAAAAAAGTTTCTCACTTCTACTTTGCCTTCAGAGCTCAAATCAGACCTTTTCTCTAGAAAAACTTGCCCTGGGGTGCCTGGGTGGCTTAGTCGGTTGAGCAGCCGACTCTAGATTTTGGCTCAGGACATGATCTCGGGGTCCTGGGATCGAGCCTTGGGTTAGGCTCTGCACTCAATGGGGAGCCTGCTTGAGGATTTCTTTCCCTCTCCCTCTGCCCCTCCCCTTGCTCTCACTCTCTGTCTCTCTAAAATCAATAAATGAATCTTAAAAAAAAGTACTTTTGCAGGCAAGGGTCATCTTTGTGGATCACTGAATTATTTGCATCAGCACAATGAAAAGCTTGAAATAAATTTGTGGACTAAACATTAAAACGAATGAACGATTTCTGAATGAATATATATGAATGAATAAAATGAATGAGTGATACTTATATGTATGAAAATGGTAGTATTGCCCTCAACTACCTGAACCCAAAAACCCACACATAGAACCAATGATCTTAACATTTGTGGTTCTAATGTCTCTTTAACTATATTAATAGACTATTGGGGAACTGATAGCCTGCTATCCTCTGCATATAAAACATGTTTTATTGTCCCACTAGAAGGGTGTATGGGGTTATTTGCTAATTCTGCTTAGCTGTCTGCACAGACTTTTGTCTGGATCTTAGGTTCTTTGTAACATGACAGAGTTGGATGAAAGATTCTCTACTATGCTTTCGATCACTGAATACTCCACCTTAATATACATCGGGGTTTCTGAACCTTGACACTCTTGCATGGTGGATGGGATAATTCTTAGTTGTTCAGGCCTGTTCTGTGCATTTCAGAATGTTTAGCAGCATCCCTCGCCTTGACTTACCAGAGGCCAGTAGCACTCCCAGGTAAAAAGATCAAAATTGTCTATAGACACCACCAAATGTGCCCTGGGAGGTCAAAATTGCCTCCTATTGAAAATCACTGATGTAGATTGGACCAACCCAAAGGTTGAAGACCTTTCAAGGTTTCAGATGACCTCTCCCCAAATATTTTATTGGTATCTCATAGAAATGCTCGTTTTGCACAACTGATCTGAAATTCCCCAGTATTGGTGCCATTCCTGTGGGTTTAAAAGAGGTAAAAATATGGATGGCGGAACATCACTTCTGGACATGCAGAAATGACTTGGGAAGTAGCATGTTCTACAGATCTAGAGGATCTTAGAACAAGGAGGGCAGATAGTTTCCATTACAAGTGCCAACTTCCACATGTGGGTGGAAGGATTCTGAGATCATATTTGAGCTCAGCAGGAAAGGTATTTAAAATAGCAAAGTCTGTCGTGGGTCTGGGGAGGAGCAGTAACAGAACACCATGTAGTCTCCATCTTTGTTCTGCCAGCGTAACCAAAGTATCGCGTGGCCTGGAGGGTCTGGGTAGGGATGGTACCACTCCACTTAGGCTGGGGTTGCTGTGGGGCAGGTATGTGTCACGGAATTCTCCAGTTGCTTTGTATTGTCTTCACACATAGTTAAGACCTGACATGGAGTGTCTGTCAATTTGGATCCCGGGTGGGTTTGTTTTCAGCTGGACCTAAATTCAAGAAGTCAGTTTCTGCCTAAAATTGAAACCCTTACCATCTGGCAGTGGATATCTGGGAATGTTTATGTGAACCTTTAGTTCCTAAACACGTAATCTTTTTGGCTAGTGATCAGTCTGGTCTTGATGCTTGCTTGTCGTATAAAAGTTGGCACTGTAACGTATCTCTGTAACTGCTTCACAAAGGAAAGGCATTCCTCAGTCAAAATAAAGCTGGAAGGACCTAGCTTACTACCTTGGGGGCAGCCAGTGCTTCTGTGGCAATAAACTTGGGTGGGCTTGGCCATCTGAGGCCAGTAAGGTCCTCTCTGTGCCTAATGGGTATAGAGACGAGCTGGAGGCAGTGCCCACCAGTATCAGGGAAAGGAGGACTGAGGATCTGCTTGCCCACCTTAGCAACAAAAAGAAAGGGAAGGAGCCCATGGGTTGCATAGGACACTTGTTATGCTGCCTCAGTTCTCTCTTCCCTCCCGTAGCTACTACACGAGAAGCCATTGTAGGATAGGTGGATGGCGAGAAGAGGGAAACGAACCAGAAGACACCTCTTGTCTCTTTCCCTTCCTGAGCGATAGCAGGCAAAATAAGCTTGGATGTCCCAGACTGCTATTCCAATTGTCTCCGCAATTTAGGATGCCAAAAATGAAGTCATTGCCCATTCAAGGGACCTTTTTGTAGGTGCAGGGGCTAGAAAGGTCTAATCCAAATCCCATACCTTTCATGGCATCCATTTCTCTGCTCTACTCACAGGTGCACAAACCCGACTTCAATTTCCCTGTACGGAAAGTGTTGCCCTTTGATGCATTAGCTGACGCAAAAACTCTTAGCTTTTCGTTACCAAAACTTAATAAAGGCTTTGATTAAGATATAGTGCTTCTGGTGCAGGCAATTTTTTTTTTCCTCTAATAAACCCAAGCAACATATTGTCCTTTGTCTCTCTCCATCTCGTGGATTTCCTCCCATCTGCCTTTCCCTCCGCCTGTACCTCTGTGTTTCTTTTTCCCTCATCCTCTTCTCCTTTTCTCACTGTCCGCTCCCTCCCCTCCCCCCTGCCCCACCTCTCCCTCTCTCTTTTCGCTCCATAACACCCCTTCCATGAGCATTAGGTATAAATGCAGGGTTGAAAAATTGCACAGCCCTTGGAAGCGGCATTTGAATGAGTGTGTGGCATCCTGCCTGCCTGATTTGTACTTGCCCCAGCGATGAATCTTCAGATAACGCCTTGGTATTAACCTTGCTGCCCAGATTTAAAGGTCACATTCCCACTATAAGGAATCCCCTGCAACCCCTCCTGGTTCAGGCCCCAAATCTCAAGAAGAAGAGGATGGTTTTACTTCAGACTACTCTCCAACTTAAGAATTAGCATTTAGAAGAGTCTGGAAGTTTGCAGACTGTGAGGGCATGGGGAGGGTGCTGGAAATAGGGAAGTAAGTTAATAAAGGAAGGGAGATGAGGTGGAGGGAAGGAGAGATGCGAGGGAGCTAATGGGAGGTTTGGCAGGAAGATGAGACTTCATCACTAGTCTTCCTAGTTAATGCTCTGGCTGGCTGTCTGGCTCCTGGGACGGGCCGTCAGCCTGTTGCACTGGGTGTGTGGGAAGGGAGGGCCTTCTAGTGCCCAGGGCCCTGATCCTGTAGAGACATCCTCATGCTCTCAGCGAGGCCTGGCCATCAGCAGGGCAGTGATGGGAGGGTATTATGACCAGACAGTTGCTTTGCTGCAAAATGTCAAAGAATGAGCCATTTTTTGAGATGCACCCGCCTAAGGCTTTTGTAGGACTTGTAGGAGCTCAGAAGAGTTCTCAGAATGACAGTCTATGTTTTAGGATGGTTGGCATTATGATTCCTGTGATCTTACGGTGATACACAAGGAG